AAGCACTAGAAAGCAGAATTTATCTGTTCCAAATTCAAAAGTTCTGCTCTTAACATTCTTGTCAGAACAAAACAAGATAAAGTTTGTTTTCTGTCTCTTAAGCTTTAGGATTTTTTTAACCTATTGAAAATGTTCTCACACTGAGAATTTACTGATAGTGGTCAAAGGCCAATCTACTACATAAAGACCCTGAGCATAGCTCTATCACACAGCCTGTTGAGTAAGTGTTCTCTGTCAAGATATTGATCACTTTACCTACAGGTCTGATCCTTGCTAGCATGGCCAAGTCTTTGTGAAAAGGGAAAGAGTCTGACACTATATAACTCATAACATTTTATGACTACATTGTGCTGTGTCACTTCCTAAAATCATAGACATACCAAACATGTACCAAGACATTTCATTCGGAATGCTGTTCTAGCTTGGTTTTCTGCTATGTGACAAAATACTGAACAACATAAACTTGGAGAGGAAAGGGTTTATTTCATTTTACAACTCCCAGATCAAAATTCACCAGGACGGCAAGTCAGAGAAAGAATTCAAGACATAAACCTGTGGTCAAAACAAAAGCAGAAAATGTGGATAAATGCTGTTCATTGACTTGATTCCAGGCTCCTGTTCAGCTACCTTTCTTATAAAGCCTGGGCCCACCTGCCTAGGGAACCTACCACTCACAGTGGCCTATGTCAGTCAGCACTCAAGAAAACCCCACAAATACATTCCTACAGGTCATGTGATAGAGGCAATTCTTCTATTGACTTTCCTCTTCCTCGATGTGTCAAGTCCACAACTAAAGCGAACAATGACAAATGCCTCCAGAGGTAGATTGGTCTTGTATAAGAAGTCTCTGCTCATCTTTGAAAAACTCTTTACTGTTTCTAGGATTTTAAATCCTAGTCAAAGTTAGAGGACATTCTTGGTGTTTTTTGATACATGTGATGCATTTTACAATGCACGTGCCTCGTCCAACATTTGCTGACCCTGCATGGGACTACTCTTAGGATTGTGTTCACTGGTTTCATAAGATAGGACTTTTCAGTTAAAGAAAGAACTTTCTAAGCACTTCAATTTCCATGGCTTAGCATAGTGTATATGCTAGAGACTAGACAATTATATGCAGTATGAGACACCTCAGTGACTCCAAGGATCCCCAAGGACCTAAAAATTGCCTGTACCTGCTTCCTTTCTATTTTTTTTTTCTTTTCTAATTGATGCGAATCTGACATGAAGGACTTCCTTGACAATCTGGCTTTCTGACTCATTTGATCTTTCTGTCATAAACCCCATTAAGCCATTTTCATTCTGAACTCTATTTTCTTGTCTATTTCTCAGAGTATCTAAGTGCTCCTCCTCTTCTGGTCACCACCAAGGTTATTTAATTTTGTGATGGTTCATTTTAGTTTCCAACTTAGCTTCCTCTGGCATCAACTCACAGACAAGCCCCTGGACATACCAGTGAGGAATATTTCTTGAAAAGTTTAATTGAAGTTGAAAGAGACACACTGGATGTGGACAGCACTACCCAGTCCAAATAAATGGAAGTCAGAGAAAGAAAAACTTTTGTTTTTCCCCTGCTTGACTTCATGTTGTGTAGGTGAGCCCATAAGCACAGTTGTCATCTTGCTATTGCCACAATAGATGCTGCCATTCTTCATTGCATCTGAACCCATCTTCATTCAATACAGATCTGAGACCAGTAGCTCTCCTGGAGTCCTGTACCACTCAAAGCCAGATGGAGCTTCTGAGCACATGGCAATGTAGATTGAGCAGCTACAGGTCCTCGAGCTTCCCAGTAGAACAGCAGCTATTGGTGGATACCTAACTGTCTCCTTTAAGCCAATCTAATAAATCCCACTTGAATGCACATATTCATTCCATTGGTTCTGTTACTCTAAGAACACTGACACAATTTCTACAGCCTGATAAAAACAAAACTGCAAATGTTCTGGGTTGTTTATTTTTCTATTTTTATATAATTCTAAATCTCCTCTCTCAATCTCTTTTATCAATTTTCTTTTTCCAAAAGAGAGAAAAATTTTACATAAATAATAAGACTTAGATTCCCTGGGAAAGCAACCTCTTTTTCTTTTTATTTGAACATACTCAAGTGTAATAATGCAAGAATTTACAGAGCGATGTGTAAATTTCATTCAGAGGCCACTTCTCCAAGGCTGTGAGGCCCAAATAAGATAATGTTTATAACAGGCCTCCTTGTTGGCTGAGGAAGGATTGTGTATTATCAAAGTTTAAATCAATACACTTTACAAGTGCTTTGCTGTTTTAAGAATATAAGTTGAATTTATTCTTCATTGATTATTGAATTTTGAATCTGTTTTCAATTTCATTGTAACTTCTTTAGCTAAACTCTCACTCTCATATACCAAATACCTAATGTTTACTTAGCAACTACTATGCGAATTGCTCAAGTATCACTTTTTCTGCAGAGCATTATCCAAAGTAGCACCAGAATTAACTTACGAAAATCTATATAAGACAATGTTATATCAGTCAAACTGCAAACAGTAAAGTTTAAATGGATGTGTTGATAGGGATCCCTATTATACTGGCTAAAAATATGAATAATGAATATAGCTGAGATCATTTAATTAGGCAAATGGCAATATATACCCATGAAACTTTGACCATGTTAGGGAGCTTTAGTTATCCATAGCACACAAGAGATTATTCTTCAGATATAAATTATTTAAAAGATCACCATGCTTACTATATTTATGTTAAAAAAAATCTATCTTCTGAAATAGATTGTGAGACACTTGCAAGCTGAGACTAGCCTTTGTAATTTTTTTGCTCCCCATGTTTAATTCAGTGGCTGCACATAGTGAATGCTCAATGGAAATTCTTGGCTTAATATCTTTATTATACTAGAAATGGTGAACAAAAATGTTCAAGTGAACAAATTTCTCCTTATGTAAGCCCTTCCAACAAAACTGCCCCCTGTCTAAAGTGAATTTCAAGCTACCAGGCTATAGTGGTGGTACATGCCTGTAATTTTAGGGCTTGGAAAGAGTGCAGGAAGGGTAGACGTTCAAGGCCAGCATCTAAAATACAGTGTCTTGGCCATGAGCCTGGGCTATGTGAGACAAGGAAAGAACCAAAAAGGGGAAAGAAAGGAAGGTGAGGTAGAAAGGAGGGAGCATAGGAAGGAAGGAGGAAATGACAGAAGTAGTGAGAGATGGAGGGAAGAATTCAAAGAAATCTAACATCCTCGTATTAGCTATGAAATCAAAGACCTGAGTGTGAGTCCTGGCTACTCTTAATTCTACTACTAGACCTTTGATGGGAAATTGTAGGGACTATCTAGACTCCCTTTCTCTTTAAATGATGACTTACTCTGCTGTATCCAGGATTATCTTGGAGTTCAAATGAGGGTTGGGGATTTAGCTCAGTGGTAGAGCGCTTGCCTAGCAAGTGCACAGCCCTGGGTTCCACCCTCAGCTCAAAAAAAAAAGGTGTGTGCCATGGCTGACTTGCGAAACCATTGAGAGTTTGGGTTGGGGATTTAGTTCAGTGGTAGAGCACCCTACCTTTGGATCCTCAGCTCAAAAAATAAACAAACAAACAAAAAAAAACTTTACAGTAGACATTCTTCACTGGAGAAAAACATCTAACCATAGCCTGAAATTAATGCACTTTACAAGTGCCTTCTTGTTTCCAAATTTATGTTTACTTTGGTAGCTGTGGCCTATTTATGCATTTGCTTTTAAAGGCACATTTTGCTCCTTGATTTTATCTTGAAAAGCACAAAGAACAAATTCAGTTTTTGATTTGATTAATGACTGACCTAACAACAAGTCATGGAATTTTTCTCAATAGTGGTAAAAATTTATGAACCAAAGAAAAAACACACAGGTAGGCTGACTGTTTCTGATAGGTAAAGTGAAAACAGGAACCACAGGATAAAGAAGACAGATACATGTGGTAAAAATTGTTTTGATTAACAACTGCTCTTAGTAACAACATCGACATCAATAAATTATAATAATGTTAGGTATGCTCTAATAAAAACCCCATGACATAATAAAACCTGTCAGAACAAATTTAATCTTAGGCTATGTTAATGTATTTAGGGATAAATGTCTTCATTTACAAATGTATTGTTCATATGAGGATCTTTTCTATTTCATCTCTTTTTAAAGAGAAATCAGTGTCTATGTGCATGTGTTTAGTGTTTATTTATTTATTTATTTTTGTTTTTGCTGCTGGTGGTGATGGTGGTGGGTTTTTTTTAGTTTTGTTTTGTTCTTTCAAGACAGGGTTTCTTTATGTAGCTCTGGCTGTCCTAGAACTCACTCTGTAGACCAGGATGGTCTCAAACTCAGAGATCCTCCTGGCTTTGCCTCCTGAGTGTTGGAATTAAAGATGTGCACCACCACTACCCAGATCATTTCTTTTTTTTTCCCCTAAGGTAGATATTTTAAAATATCTACCCAATCAGAACTGATAATATTAGCTGAGGTTGACTTGAATCACACAAGTATCTTTATGAGAGTTCAAGTGCTGAGATATCAATGGAGGACTATTCTGTTCCATGTGATGATAGAGACATAAGAATGTGATGAACGGTCATTGTACCCTTAACAATACCACAAGGGCAGGGAGGGGGTCCAACTCCACTTCATAGATGTACAAAGTGAAACCTAGAAAGTGACTTGTCACTTAACAGAAAGCCAATAAGTTACTGAAATCTATACTTAAATATATTGATCTCCCCTGATGTAAGCACCTTTCTTTCCTTTACTCCAGGATGAGAAATGGTATTAGACCATCTGCTAAAAGGGTGATAGCCAACCCAAGTTTTATAATTCATTTGAATCAGTATCAATGATTGCAGGCCTAACTGTGTCCCTCACAGTATGAAGTAAAATATTATTGGAATAGTCAGTGAAATATTTAGTCAGAACATTTCATAAACCAGATCCCAATAAGTGTTTCCCTGAAGCAAGACATGTTAAATAGAATTTAAAATTTAAACTACAAACCTGTTTCAGGCTCAATGGAAAAATACGGCTGTCCTTCCAAGATACTGTAAACCAACTTTGCACTGTTTCCGTAAACTGGGTCATCTGCATCGGTGGCTGTAACATTAGTGACAGACGTACCTAATTTTAAAAAAAGAGAGAGAGGGTGTGAAAATGGTAAGAATTTGCACACTATTTTTGCAAATGCTAAATTTTGTCAAGTATATCATACATAAACCCATAGGAGATAGATAGATAGTTAGATGATAGATAGATCATAGATAGATAGATAGATAGATAGATAGATAGATAGATAGATAGATAGATAGATAGATAGAGGATAGATAGATAGACAGACAGATATAAACAGCTTTGTCAGAACTCCAACAACCAGAAAGTCTTTTGTAAGAAACAATACTGCTAGGTTGTATTAATAGATTAAGATGGCACTTTTAATCTCTATTATTTAAGATGCCTTTGTAGTTTTCATTTTAAGAATATCTGTTAGAGTTGTGTGGTTTTAAGGAATATGCAAAGGAATTATATCAAAGAAATATGAAGCAATAGATTAATGATATAATACAGCATGTAGCACTTGAGTTTTGCCAAAGTACAACAGAATGTACCTTGAAACATTGACTGCTGTAAAAAGCAGCACATAAATATCAAAGGAATATTTTATTCCATCACATTTAATTTCTCAGAATATAAAATAAGAGAGGAACCACCAATTAATCAGCAGACTCAGGTAATTAGACCCATGGATAACAGAATGAAAATCTCTTCACACATTAATCTTCAGTGTTTTGCAACAACTGTACATATAAAGCTTACTTGAATGGCAGTATACAAGCTAAAATGAAGTCCCTGTACTAAAGAAGCTTAGAATTTTGTGGTGGGAAGAAACAGAAGGAAACAAACAAATTGACTCAGCTACTCAGGTGAATACAAGTGCAGCAAGCATGTGCCCCTCATTTGGTCTAGCACAAACAGGATCGTCATGGATAGGTTTCAAAGACAGATTACACTGAAACTCAATATTAAAAAAAAGTCAAGTTTCTCACAGACACATACAAGAAGACATGCAGAAAAATTATTCAATCCTAAGTAAAGACAAAGATGATCATATGATAATCTGATGACTTCTGAAACAATGGAGAACAAGAGGTGTCTGGTGTGATTAGAATCATAGTAGATGAGGGTCGGCCAGTGTTGTTCTACTCAATTAAAAGTCACTCACAAAGTAGTTATTTAGCATATTTATTAATTAAGTGGATAAATGAAAGAATATGTTACCTGATGATTTATTGAAAAATGCTAGCGTCACAGATAATTCATGGAATTATATGGAATCATGTTAATAAAATATAACTTGTATAACTTGCAGAATTTTTACTGGAGAGTGTCCTTCAGTATCCTTACCTCTGGAGGTAAATGAAAGAAACAAGACGAAGCAGAAGTATATATGCAGCCATGAAACCACAACAATATCTGCAGTAAATTATATGAGGATATGAAGAAAAGTATTGAAAATTGGAGTGCTCATTTAGAAATGCGGCCAGGTATTCACATCACAAGACTGAAGAAGTGGGAGATGAGATGGCCCATGAGAAATGATGGCCCTTGGGTCAGGCAACTGTGTTTAGCTGAGGGCAACTACAAAGTGTTGTCAGGGATTATCAGCCTTGCACTGTCAATTACTAGTACACCCAGAATATAGGGGAAGAGGGTTTTAATCCTGAAGGATATCAATGGTGCATCTGAGTATTATATCTTGGTGGTAATCAAAATAATTTTGAGTTCTTGCAAGATCTTTTCAATCAAAATGTTTTTGATATACTCTCAATTACAGTCACTGCTCAGAAAAAAAAACTGTAATATAGTTGAGTAGTTGATAGTTGTATAAAATTGAAATTTATACTCAGAATGATGTTTGGTAAGTTTTAAAGAATACAGAGCAACAATGTGCTTTAAACACCACTTATATAACACACTCAACCATACATACACTGGGAGAAATGCATTTTGGGGTGTGTGTATGTGCATGTGTGTGTGTGTGTGTGTGTGTGTGTGTGTGTGTGTGTGTGTGTGCACTTTCTCAAGTGACACATCAATCTTGCTGGTGAAGATGAACATATGGAAGACCAATAATGGCAATTATTTGAGTATTACATGGACTTGGGAACAATTGAAAGGAAAGATTTCTATGTGAGAGGAAGACAGGGAGCTCAAAATTCCAAAACAGTTTTAGACGAGATGATGGAAAAAGTCTGCTATCAAATGGAGGGCTAGAGATTCAAGCTAGGATCAAATTTAGAGGGCATTTGAATGACAGAGTGTGTATTTTAAATGCTCCATGGGGGAAACAAGGAGGACCTTTCAGGCCTAGGTCAATTCTTGATGTGGTCATCTGTGTTATAAGTGCTTCCAGATTTACTTGAATGCAAAGAGGCTGATTAGGAGAAGAGATCATTTATGAGATTACAGCAATAGTCCAACTAAGACCACTGTGGCACTCTGACATAAAATGGACACTCCATTCCATTTCCTTATTTTTGTGTGTGTGCTAAGATAATAATCTGATGATTAGATTAATGAGGACTAATCACAGTTTGAAAGAGTTCTATCATAAATTGAGGTGTTAGTAGTGTAAATGAAAGTATTCAGGAACCAGATATCTGTATGGTGGTGAGGCCTTCAGGCTCTTCCTGGTGAGTTGGACTTGGTTCCTGTATAAAATGGTTTACTGAAGAACTTTGTCATGTTGCCTCTTTTGTCTTCATCCATGAGAGGACATAGGATTTTTACTTCCATAAGTGACAACATGAAGTTTCTAACCCCAAAGAACTTTAACTCCAAGTATGAGAGAATTAATTTATATTTTTTGTAAAATCCCACTCTATAATATTTTGTGAGAATGCATGAAAGGATGGGAGGAGGGAGGACAGGGGAATCCGTGGCTGATATGTAAAATTAAATTAATTATAAAATAAAAATATTTATTAAAAAAGGAAGTTTTAAGGAAACTATACATTAACTATTTATGTAGTCTGCAAAAATTAATTCAAAAAATGAAAAACAATGGATAGAGAAAAGACATACTCATAGAGTCATTTAAAGGATTGACAAATCAGAAAGAAGAGGGGTGAGGAAACTCTTCACAGAAAGACACAGGAGATTGTGCTTTTCTTTGTTGTTCAGCGTGTCTACTTTGATTTTTTTACGAAGAGATATTGTTTTCTCATTGTGAAGTAATAAATTGACATGAAAAAAATTATTCAAGCTTAATGTTCACTGTGATACTGTGGCAGTGAGTCCAGTAACTACTTAAGCAGGAGGAAACAGAGTGAAAAATCGAGGATTATCTTCTGTTGTCCTGCATTCACTCTTAAATTAACAGGTATATTTGTAGAGAAAAAAAAATCTAAATATTTTCTGTAGAATTTCATCTTTGCATAGATCTGTGGGAGTAAGTGGAAGGAGAGTACTGTGGAAGGTTTTGCACACAGAATGGGCTAACCTATTCTGAAACACATTACTATATCTTCAGGCAAGTCATTTAACTGGACTCAGTCTCAGAGTGTGCATATATATATATGTGTGTGTGTGTGTGTGTGTGTGTGTGTGTGTGTGTGTGTGTGTGTGTATGTGTGTGTTATATATAATATGTATATATCTGCGTATACATATTACATATATGAGGGTTAAGAGGGTTAAGCAAAATAATGCTTATAGATAGAACTTACAGCATGCTAAGCCTAGAAGTAATATTCATGCCTCTAGTCTACCACCTTCAAATTATTATCCTTGAAGCCCCATCCAGAATGATATGATACAGACAGTGGTAGACTATAAACCTTCTCAGGCAATTCTCATGTAAAGTCATGATTCAAAAATATGTTTGGGCCGGGCGTGGTGGCGCACGCCTTTAATCCCAGCACTCGGGAGGCAGAGGCAGGCGGATCTCTGTGAGTTCGAGGCCAGCCTAGTCTCCAAAGCGAGTTCCAGGAAAGGCGCAAAGCTACACAGAGAAACCCTGTCTCGAAAAAACAAAAACAAAAACAAAAAAATATGTTTGGACCAAAGTTTTGACAACTGCACTTCACTCCTTTTGCTTTGTCACCTTAATTTTTGTCATAATTATTTTGAAAAGGAAAACTCTTGTTCAGATTTGTTTGTAAAATTTAGCTTATTTAAAATTATTAATCTGGGGAAATGAGACATGCAGACCATTTCTCGTGGAAAGGAAGGTGAGAATATACCCTTGGCTGTTTGCAATTTCCAAATTAGTCTCTTTGACTTCTGCATCATTGTCTATTGTCATGTGATCTCATTTCATTTTGAGAGGAATCCCATCACAGTACTGCTTCATTAGGGAGAGGCTTAGTAGCTCCCCGGTTCAGTTTTTTCATAGGCCAAAACAATCATTTTTATTTGGCAGACCTCAAAATGTTATGCATAACTCTGGCTGAAAGAATGTTTCAGAATCACATTCTCTTGAACCAGAACACAAATTTGACTTTTTTATCTCTTATTTTTTTCAAATTCTGTGCATTTAGCCAAATACCTGGACTTTTCTAGCCTTTGGCATCCTTGTGTGTATTAAGAAAGTTGGTAGTCATTGTTACATTGCAGACATATTCAGATAATTCAGTGAAATAATTCGTGTAAATACTGGGAAAAATTTACTGAAAATATTTCTAGAAGCTTGCTGTCCTTCTCACTTAAGAGTATTCTTGGCCAGGTGGTGGTGGTGCACGCCTTTAATCTCAGCACTGGGGAAGCAGAGCCAGGTTTATCTCTGTGAGTTCAAGGTCAGCCTGGTCTACAAAGTGAGATCTAGAACAGGCACCAAAACTACACAGAGAAACCCTGTCTCGAAAAACGAGAGAGAGAGAGAGAGAGAGAGAGAGAGAGAGAGAGAGAGAGAGAGAGAGAGAGAGAGAGAGAGAGAGAGAATCTTTATTTATGTAAAGGTAAAACTGAACACAAATTGTTTTACAATATTTAGTGGTAGTAAATATTTAATTTGTGAATTGCTTTTTCTTCAATTTACCAGTAATAGTTTTGCATGCACCAGTAATAGTTTTGCATGCACCTTGGGAAGTAAAAAAGATTATAAATGCAACAATATGGAGATC